GCATGTTGTAACCCAACCTTTCTACACATAATACGATCATTGAACAATCGACATCAATGCGGTTAATTACATTATTCGAAAAGACTGAATATTGCAAAACATCTCAGATGTTATGGTTATTGTTTATTTTTTGGAAAAAGTGATTGCTAGCTGCCGCGCACCTCAATATTTCCTATTTATATAAACTATAACCTCCCGACTTTCTACAATATTCGTTTAAAGTTTTTTTTTTTTTTTTTTCACGCTTGATGGCATTTCCATCGTCACCTACAAATAATAATCAATTTCCTTTCTCCGTAACATCATTGCATCCCGAAATGTTGACAAGTTGGTGACCTTCCAACTAATATCTCTAAAAGAAAAGTACACGATTCTCATTGCACAGTAGCTAGGGGACGACGTTATGGAATCGGATATCTTACATTGCAGTGACTACCGAGTGCAACTCTATCTACCGCCTGTCCAGTCATCCACGCAGTCGAATGTGAAACGGCTTTTTAAGTTGACGAGTAATAAAACACGCGTATAGTTATCCGTTAATATCGATATCTGTTAGATGGCAACGCATTGGACACGGAAACGCAGTATTCAACTAGTTTGTATGAGAAGCGACGGCCTTATGATCTTCTCTAATACAGTATTGTGTAAATAGTATCATATCGGATAGAGATCACATCTTTCGAATACTTGGTCGACCGTGGAATCCAGACGAAGAACGCAGTCAGTTCAACAATGAGGCCCGCATGGTGACGTGTGGTACAGACCACAAAGTTTGCACTGGTGTCAGTAATATAAAACTGGGTTTAAACATTTAAAATATTAAATAATAATAAAAAAAGTATTACCTCTATCATCGCACAGAACTAGTAGAAATATGAGTGATCCCAAAGATAACATTGCTGATATATATACGGGCAGATCAAATGACCTCCCTTTGTAACATTTCACCACATCAGTGTCGTACACATTGTCGACTATCTCTGTTCAAACTCCGTGGCAACCGCCTAAAAGAACACCAACTACCAGCAGATTAATATAAACTTGAAAAGAGGTTAAATTAGCTCACGTCACGAACTAGTACGAGTGTCTAGGCCCCCTGTAGTCTTGACTACTTCAAGGAATATCTGTATCACTTACACCTGCTAACCTGAAATCGAACAATGACTACAGAGCACTTGATTACTGGCTTGTTTATGGCACAGCTTTCCCGTTCACTGTTGCTATGCAATCTGATACTATGTATAACGCTATAGCTGGCGCGTCCTACTGCGTCCTGATGACGTCACGGTGATATTAAGTATAGCGACTAGAGTATACAGTTACAAAATCTCAATATTGAAGGCTATGTAAATTATCACTGAAGCATATCATAACTCGTTAGCGTGACTCAACATAACTCAACTCAGGAGTATCATTACTAAGTCGATAGCACGACAAAGT